AGTAATACACTGCAGAGTCTCCTACCTCCACATTATTGATGATCAAATTACAGTCCGACCTCGATGAACATTGAGATGTGAATTTAGGAGAGGAGAAGCCAGATCCATATTTAGGAGAACTCCAGCTCTGATAATTACTTAACACATACTGTGGAGCTTCTCCTGGAACCTGTTTATACCAATAAGCACTACCAGTAATAGTCCCCAGATTACAGTGCATAGTGGTCTTCTCTCCTTTAGTCGCTGTGAGAACAGGAGGCTTCTGTGTCACCACAGTCACACCACTGACACCTGCAATAAAAGCAGCATCCATGTTACATTTGTTGATGCTCACATTAGATGTAGGCGAATGCTGAGGAGCTCCAGTGTTGTGAGATCTTACATGAGAGAGCAGTGAAGAGAGAGCAGAGTGCTGGCAGCATCTTGTCAGTGTGTGATGACTCTCTGTGCTGAGTGAAGAGATGAGCAGCTTGAGGAGCAGATAAAGGAGAGAGTGCAGAGATGTGCTATAAGAGAGATAGGAGAGGGCAGAGGGAGGGGTCACTTATTTTTTTACATCTTATGGGTTCATCTACACAGTCTCATGTGCTTATAGCATATTTTACTGAAGCATATACTGATAAATTATCATCAAGTTTAGAAACACTTCAGAAAATGTAAAAATCCATACACATAAAGCTTTTTCCCTTCAGGTATAGCAATTGTATTGATTTTATCTCAAAATTTTCAATATCTAATTTGTCTCTTTGTAGAAACGTGTTGTGAATCAGAATTAGAATTCTTTTTGTTCATATAAATGAAAAAAAAAAACTGTATTATGTATTAACTTACAGTGTTCCACCTCAAGACGAAATGAAGACTCATCTTCATTTGCATAGAGCTAAAATTACAGAGTGTTGGTCAGCAGGTGTTTCCTGAGTGTGTCTCTCATAATATATGATGTATCAGTGTCAGTGCTGAACTATGAAGGATGGCAGAGTCATATAGTTATATGCGGTAAAGTTCATTCTGACCCAGTGCTGCAGCCTGGAAAAAGTGACTTCAAAAACATAATTCTAAACTCTTCAAGATAGATTAAGGCCAAAGTTCTGCTCTGTCATTTTGCTGAGCTTCTCATTTTGTGGCTAGCATGGGGTTGATGGATAAAAGAGACACATACAGTAGATGGTGTGGTGAGGAGGAAAAAACGGGGTTATATGATTCACTTTTTTGCATAATTTGAAAATTACACTTATCAATTGCCTTGTGTTAATGTTTTATGATAAACAGAGCAATAAAGATTTACTATAATTACTTGGAATAAAATCTTACTATGCTAAACCACATACTACATCCATCACAACAGCATGGCTTTGCAAAGAAGAGTCTGGGTGCTGAACTGGCCTGCCTGCAGTCCAGACCTTTCACCAATAGAAAACATTTGGTGCATCATTAAGAAGACCCAGGACTGTTGAGCAGCTAGAATCCTACAGCAGACAAGAATGGGACAACATCCCTCTCCCAAAACTCCAGCAATTGGTCTCCTTACCTCTCAGACATTTACAGATTGTTGTTAAAAGAAGAGGGGATGCTACACAATGGTAGACATGGAACTGTCCTAACTTTTTTGAGATGAGTTGCTGCCATTAAGTTCTAAGTAAGTTAATAGTTCTCACGAAATTTTAAAATGTCTCACTTTCAGCATCTGATATGTGTTCTATTTTCTATTGTGAATAAAATATGGGTCAATGAGACTTGCAAATCATTGCATTCTGTTTTTATTTACATTATGTCAATGTCCAGTTTAATGAATCAATTAAAATAAGATCAAGCTGTACAAATATGTACACTATGTGTCACCACATGCACACAGCACTGCTAAACAACAAGAGGTACGTTTGTGTACAGATGAATGAAAGATGCACAATAATTACAGTTTTGGAGGATCTGTGTTTGGTTTGTATCAAACACATTCCTATTCTTTCGTGAACTTTCTGAACAGCTTTATTTTATGGTTTAAAGAGTGTAATTATCCTCTTTTAAAATATACAACAATAAAAGTATCTAAACAAAACCTTCCTGGTACACATGACAGTGGTTTATTCAGGAGTTAACAGAAATGGTCATAATTGAATGATGATGATGGCTAAAAAACATAAATAAATTGGTGAACAACATCTGAGGATAATCTCTAATGTCTCTGGATGAAAGTAAATCAGGGTCATGTTGTTTGTCTTTTGTACAAACAAAGAGAAAATATACCAAAAAATACTTTCTCTTTTCTAATAAATAATTTATTATCCATTCATCATCATAAGACAGACTTTGAACTATAGCCCAAGTTTCTGGTGGGTTTTATCATATAACATTTGACAGAAAGGGCTGATAAGCTGATATGCAGAATAAGTGATCACAGGTTGTTGTTGTTTCAGTGTGACCTGTGGAGTCAGGAGAGTGTTTAAACTGTTTTACAAGAAAAACAAACACACAGGAAGCAAAACAGTAGCTGCCACCAGGAAATAGATCAACTCTGAAATGGCTGTTTTTCAGTCAGAGTTCAGTGAACTTTACTTGTTTTCAAACTAGTGTCTTTGGGCCTGAACCAAAATCACTGTGTTCATTTTGCCTGTACTAGAGGTGTGAATGGAAGATGTGTTTATTAAATAAATTATTAAAAGTATTTGGTCCCCAGAGTGGTGTCATATTTATATTTTTACATTTTTATCAGTATTTTAAAGTCCAGTTTTCACCTTTATAATGACACCATACTCAACACACAAAGAGAGTTTAATTGAAAATGTATTGTTTATCCTTGAAGTGTTTTTAAGAGGGGGTGTAATATAATAATGAAATATGGTGATGATCGATGCACACTGTCCATGTATTAAGTAGATTGAATTAAATTCCATAGATTCATTCAGATAATTGTTCACAGTGGTGTTGATAGTTACCAGATATCTTCAGTGTTTAATGGCTCTGAAAGCTCCTTCAAGTCATTACATGAAACTGTAACAAATACATTGACTTACGCCTGAATATTATTATAATATTATTATAATATTGTTATAATAGTTTTGAGAATGTTATGGCCTGAATGCTTTCATAGTGGAGAGACACATACAGGGTGTTCTGCTAAAAGAAAAAATCTGTTTTCCAGTTAACAACTATTTAGTCATGATCAACATTTTATATGAAGGGAGTGATGTATGCAGCTAACTATTCTACTAACAAATTATTTTGTTATATGAAGTCCAGTCTTCGGTCCACTGCACATTACAGAACAACATGCTTAATAAGATTCTCCTGATCAAACATCTGAACACATAAAATTAATTATTACACTTTGAATTTTATGTGACTTATTCAAAGTTTTGTATATTGTAAAGTATAGGAATGATTAAATTGATTTAGAAACAATTATTATGCATATGAGAAAATTAACACCATAAACTAAAAACTATGTATAAAACAATCCAAGAGTTTAGTATGATGGTGGGTTCATGAGGGTTTATACACCATTTTTCATTCTGTATCACCAAATATGATATTAATACTGATCTACATGATCTAATAATTAATGTTTCAATCAAACCGTGAAGGTAGTGTTTAGAGATCATATCACTTTGTTTATCTTTCAGTTTAATAACTGACCAGTTAAATGACACTGCAGGCAGCCTGAACCTGATCTATCATAATCATCATTAAACTTTAAATTAACAGCATAGATTTCTAGTGATGGAGGGAGGGGTCACTTAACAACTCTCACCATATAAGACCATCTACACAGTCTCATGTGCTTAAGCAAGAATTTTCAATTATTTATACATTTTTAGTTTAATTCTGAGAACAATAACCATATTAGGAATTTGACACATTAATTTAAAATGTATTAGCATGATTTACTCACTTGTTTGAAAATGATTTTTATACATTGACATAGTGCATTAGTTTCTGTTATTCTGATGTGACTCAGAGAAACTTCTTCGTGTACACAGAGCTAAAGTGACAGAGTGGTGCAGCAGGTGTATCCTGAGTGAGAGAGGAGGTTCACACTGATTAGTGGACTGAATCGTCTCTTGGGGAAATCTCCACGTCAGTGCTGCTCTCTCTGATCCTCCACTGCCACCTACAGTCTCTCCTTTCACACTCACTTTAACACGCACACTCTACAGAGTCTGTGAGAGAAAGCAGGAGAAGAAAAAATAAATACAAAAATCTGATTAATTAAAACAGCATCATCATTTAAACACTATGTGCAAAAGGATTAAGCCAATCAACGTGCTGTAGAAATATTGTTATTTAATTCAATAAGAAAAGATGTGAGTAACAGCGGAGTAGAGCAGAAACTCTCACCAACGCTTTTCGCGCTACTGAGTGATCCTCTCTCCTGCTGAGCAGTAGACTGCAGTTCACGCTTCTGCGGACAGATGGCGCTCTAACAACATTCCCAAATCATTTTCCACCTTCATCTCTTCCTGCTGTCTGCAGATTTCCATTTGAACCTTTGAGAAATCTCCTCACTCACACACATCTCTATGAGCTCCTTCACTTTCTCTCATATTTTAGTGTGTGTATCTGTTGTGTCAGTGCCAGTAAAACTTCAGTAAAAGCTCCACAGTGTTGTGATCTGAACTTCAGTCTTTTAACTCTTGTTCAGTTTAGTTTAAGCCTCAAGATCTGAATCTCTCACAGGAGAATTCCATTAGAATTCCCTCTCTTTACTGCACTTGTCTGGACAGTGATCACTGACTCTGATCTGCTTTAGATCATCCTTTTACATTTTCAGTGGCATCATCAGTAACCATAGATATCACACCATCTCCTTATAACTGAGTCTCCAAAGCTCTGTTCACTATACAGCCAGAATAAACTCTGATCATTTTATAATGCTGTATAAACCTGTTTCACTCTTTTGGTTGTTCTCACTGTTTTTCTTTACAGCTACATTTGTTTCATTATGCTGGTTCTGTGCTGAAGTCTCTCTGATTTAATGTCTAGAACATCATACTGGTTCTCCATCACCATGAAAAATGGACAACAAAGTTTTTTTAGTTATGCATTTTATTAAAGTTCATCAAACAGTTTTGTTCATAAACATAAAAGTCAAATGACTCCATAAGCAGGAGATGATCCAGTTGTGGTTAATGAAATCAACATCCTTCACTACACATTAAACTACTGTTGCTATGAAGCTCTGCCAAGTAGTAACTGTTAGTTTGCATGAAAAGAATGAAAATGTATCAGATGTGATCAGGTTCAGTCGCTGCATTCAGACTTCTTAATCTCTTTAGTTGTGGCTTTTGAGGCAGCAGACACTTCACATGTTATGGCTTTATCTTTATCCCACTCTGATCTCTCAATGGTCAAATAGCTGCTCAGTCTGAATTTCTTATTGGGTTGCTGCTCTGCAGAGCCAGTGGTCACTCCACTGCTGATCGGGTTTCTGTCCACCAGCCAACGCACATCAGCAAGACCACTGGACATGTCATTGACCAAACACACTAGAGTGGCTTTGTTAGACTTCAGCTCTTCACTGGATGGAGGGAAGATGGTCAGAACAGGAGCCGGGAGAGCAGAGTCTGATTAGAGAGACAGAAAAAAAAAGGTAAAAAAATAATACCTTTTAAGGATTTGTTCAGATATCAGTTTGCCGTATTGTGTCATGTTTGAATGAAAAAAAGTTAAAACCATCAAAATAAATTATTAAAATAAATCAAAAGTTAATTATAGACTTAATCTAAATAAAAATCTAAATAAACACAAGTTTTAAAGACATTGTATTAAATGTTCCCTAAATAATTCACAGTTACAGTGAGAATCATTATTAAGACAATAAACACAATATTCAATCATGATTTTATAAAATCAAAAATTTCAGCAGATTTCAGTTCTTAGTTACGTTGCAAAATTTGACACAATTTCATTTATTTGTAACTATATGAAATACAATATAATTTAAGTGACTAAATAAAATCTAATCGTAATCTAAAAATTAATTTTTGCTCAAGCGTCAAAAGACACCACTGAACAAAACAAATACATGTATTATCAGAAGTACATTAATTGATCAGACATTTATTAATATGAATAACGAGAGGCTGGCAATCGCATAACATTAATACTATATGATTTGTTTTGTTAAATAATAAAAAAACAAGACAATCAAAAATGTTTTAATATAACTGTTTCTTAAAGATGAGTTTCAAACATTAAAGAAGTCTAATGTAGATGAAGAGAAAGGTTTCTTACCAGTGACGATCAGCTTTGTTCCTTGGCCGAATACCACAGTGCTTCATTTCATATCCTCACCCATACAAAAACATCCTCAGTTTCAGAAGTGAAAGTAGCGGAACTGAAACGTCGTCTAGACTTCAGCTCTCTCTTCTACTGTCTATGATCAGCACTGAGTCCTTACACATCCCATTCCGGTCTCTGTGAATTCCACGTCTCTGTTATCCTGTGATTTCTTTACACGTCCTGCACAAGAGAACTGCAGCTATTAACTCAGCTTTTCTGCTCCAGGTGAGAAATGAGCTGAATGTAATGGAGAAGTGAATGTGAGCAGTGAGGAGCTTTTTGTCATTATCTAATTCACTGTGATACGTATACAGTTGCAGAGCTGCTCCATGTTGCACAGTAATACACTGCAGCGTCTCCTACCTCCACATTACTGATTATTAACTGGTAGTCGATGCTTGACGAGGCTTTAGATGTGAAGCGTGAAGATGGAAAATTATCTCCATATTGATCAGGAGAGCTGTGAGAATAATAAAATCTCAACACAAACTGAGGAGCTGCTTGTGGAATTTGTTTATACCAGTAGGCATGGTACCCCTCATCAAATGCGATATTACAGTCCAGGCTGACAGTTCTGCCCTGGTCAGTCAGTACTGAAGGGGTTTGTGTCAGAACTTTCTGTGAACTGACCCCTAAAACATAAAGCAACATTGGAGTTCATGAGCATCAACATCATTTTAAACACAATCCTAATCAAACAGATCTCATCACTGTACAGAGAAAAGCAGGAAGAGAGATCTTACATGTTAGAGCAGGGAGGAGAGCACAGAGGGTTGGCAGCATGTTGTCTGTGTGATCAGCAGAGTGATGAACAGAGTGGAGGATGAAGAGAGGAGAGAGTGGAGGAAGCTTTCATAAGGAGCTGAGGGAGGAGCCTGGAGCTCTAACCAGCCAATCAGCTGAGACTTTGTTCACTGAAAAGATTACTTTTACATAGAATGTCAGTAATAAAATCTAATCCAAAGTACTCAAGAATATGTGTGTTTAAAATGTGACTAACCTGCTGAAACTATTTTTCAGGTTTTACCAATTATGTACAATTACGAAAGTCTAAATTGTAGTACTTCATATTCAATATCTGATGTTGGTTTCAAATGAACTCCTAAGATCAACTCTGTTAGATATTTGACATTTTTCTTTATTGCTCACATGAAAAATTAACCACTAATTTAATGCCACCATGATACATTTACTAAAATTAATTATGAAAGCATTTTGACTGTAATTGATCTGGAGACATAGATGTAAATATCTGATGATGTGTGATTTTTAAAGGGAATGTGTGTATTTCTTTACTCCTTCTACTCTACAGTGAGAAGAAACAAGGTACTGCATAAGTAGAGTTTTGTTCACTGACCTACAAACAATGTAGATGTACCTTCAAAATTACAACAGTGGTTTAGGTTCAGTTTGAGAAAGATGGAGTATTTGGAGTAACTGTCACATAGAAATATATAACTTCAACAGAATATGATACAATTTTGTTCCCTCACTTACGTTACTTTACATGTATACTTGAATGTCTCACCCCAGTGGACAGAAAGATAATGCGAGGAATAAACCTCATATATCTAGGACAGAAATAAAATTACATTTTGGTCTGTGTGAAAAATGAAAACTCTTTCTGATTGATTTACTGCAAATAAATATGAGTGTAACAGATGTTTTGTCCTTCAAACTATTTGTATCGAAAAACATAATAAAATAAAGAACTACTTAAAACAATATCTGTTAAAATATTATTTAGATCAGACCTTCATCTCTCTTTTCTGCGTTGCATATTTTTCTGCCGCTGTTCTTGTGTGCAGGGGTGCAGGATGTTGTATCTTCTCACACTGTATGGAACCTTCTGCATGTTTGTGAGTGTTTGATGTGGTGAGGTTTGATGAGGTGAATTTATTGCTCTTAGAAATGTCTTCTGTTTTTGCAGAAAACCTGCAGTGAGGTTTTGGTCATGGTGTGAATCGCTGTGATGCCCACTCTCTAACAGAGTCGTCAAATGTCTTACAGCAAAACACTGCAGGACTGCACTCAGTGTATCCTGAGCGTGTTTCTGATAATGTGTGATGTATCAGTGTCAGTGCTGAATTATCAAGGCTGACAGTGTCATATAGTTTGGTGTATCATGTGTGCTGTGTAGGATAAAGTGGCAGCTACTGAATATCCACCTCAGTGCTTATGACATTGACAAGATCTCCACCACAAGAAATGCAAAGGTGAGACTAAAGAAACGATGCAGAATTTATTATTGAGTATGAAGAGAGTCTCTTAGGCTTTTATGTCTGCTGTGTTTTTGTGGTGTGAGAGATGTCAAAGGAGTGAACTCTTCCAGTGAAAATCCTCCTTTTCTAAAACCTCCTCTATATCCTCTGAGTCTGACCTGATTTCTGTTCACACTGTAGAGACTTTTGATGACGGCTCTCGTTCAGAAACTCCAGCATCTTCCTCTCATTCCAGTCTTTGTCAGTTTGGCGACACAAACTCAGCCTCTACAAAAGAACAGACTAAATGAAAAGGTGTCTCTGAGCTTCAAGTGATGTGAAAACCAGCACAATCGTGTTCCATAAATGTAGTAAATATGTTTACAAGACACACATCATTGTTGGTGCCACTCAAGCATGAACACACACATTCACTCACACATGAATGGGACTCATTATGTCTTAGAGTTTGACTGAACTTCAGTTCACAATGTATAATCTGGAAATAATTTTAAATTATTGCTTGAAATTTAACTTTAAAGTCATAAATTATTTTTTCTTTTTTTTCTTTTCAGATTAGATAAAATTGTATCAAATGATAATTTAAAATGGTTTTAAAACAAGCACCTTAGCTGACATTAAACATATAGCAGTGTTTGATAATCATTCATCATGTTAGCCTCTGCTCTTAACTGTAGTCCAAATAACACATAAACAGAGCTCATTGTACACATGAAGATTTTTATAATTTGGTTAAATGAAATCTGTGTTAGTTCCATAAAAAGTGTAGAACTGCTAATATCCAATAGTGACATTATTTAAAAAATAATTCACACATCAAGGTGAAAGTACACGCTTTATAATTACATTATACACAATGAAAGTATAGTTATTTATATTATGTGAACACTAAAAATAGAAAACTGTGTGGAAGACAAGCCAAGCGTTAAATATGATGTTGTATCCATAATAACACAAACAAATATTTCACATTCTGTAATCGAGCACAACATGATGCTGATACTGATCTACATAATCACAAAATTTCATGTGAAATTGTCATGATGGTGTTGAGAGAATATTTCACTACATTCACTTTTCAGATTTATACACAGATAATTTACATTGCATACATCCTGACACTGATCTATCGTAAGCATCATAAGACATAAGACATAATAGTACATACAAGAAATCAGCTGTATTTCTCAAGAGAAAATGGAATATACATTGTACAAAAAAGACAAATCACTGTAGAAAACAAAGTTATTTAGAAAAGAAATCAGTTCTTTCAGTAACTGCTCTGTTTATTGGCTCAGTACATGAAAACGTATGGAGGTGAAACTTAGAAAAATAAATAACATAAAAATTTGTGTCAGTATACTACTGTAAGATTTTGCTGAGGTTTTTGTGTTTCTACTGTTGTCTGAAAGCAGAAGTGAATGTGAGCAGTGAGGAGGTTTTTGTCATGGTGTGAATCACTGTGATACCCACTCACTAGCAGAGCCGTCCCATGTGCTACAGTGATAAACTGCAGAGTCTCCTACCTCCACATTACTGATGATCAAAGTGTAATCTGATTGAGATGAGTGTGTTGATGTGAATTTAGGAGAGGAGAAGCCAGATCCATATTGAGGAGAGCTCCAGTCATGATAATTCCTCAACACATACTGTGTAGCTCCTCCTGGAACCTGTTTATACCAGCGAGCAGCACTAGCAGTAACAGATCCCAGATTACAGTGCATAGTGATCTTCTCTCCTTTAGTCGCTGTGAGAACAGGAGGCTTCTGTGTCACCACAGTCACACCACTGACACCTGCAATAAAAGCAGCATCCATGTTACATTTGTTGATGCTCACATTAGATGTAGGCGAATGCTGAGGAGCTCCAGTGTTGTGAGATCTTACATGAGAGAGCAGTGAAGAGAGAGCAGAGTGCTGGCAGCATCTTGTCAGTGTGTGATGACTCTCTGTGCTGAGTGAAGAGATGAGCAACTTGAGGAGCAGATAAAGGAGAGAGTGCAGGGATGAGCTATAAGAGAGACAGGAGGGGGCAGAGGGAGGGGCCACTCAACACCACACATTATATGGGACAGTCTTTATCAGTCTTTTGTGGAATCAAATGCACTTATAATTAATTTACACATTTCATTTAAACACAATCAAGTATACTAACTGATGCACAAATTACTGAGTAATCTAAAATGAAATTTGTTCACATTTTTACTATATTCTAAGTCATGACACGTTTTAAATTGTGATTCTTAAGTTGGAATTCAATAAAAATAGTGTAATTTACTTAAAAAGCAGTATATTTTTATACATTATCATACTGTGTTTGTCTGTGTCTCTTTCTGAAGTGACTCAGAGTAACTTCCTCATTCACACAGAGCTAAAATGACAGAGTGGTGCAGCAGGTGCATCTTTGAGTGAGAGAGGAGGTTCACACTGATTAGCCAGCAAACTGAGTTCAAACCTATCACTAACAACAACTTCATGGTCAAGCAGATTTTACCACAGAGTTTCCTCTGAGAAACCTGCATGTCACAATATGAAGCAGTCTATTTTGTAAAAACACGTTAAACTGAGATATAGAATGTGCTTTGTAAATAACAAAATTATAAGTACAACCCCATTTCCAAAAAAGTTGGGACGCTGTACAAAATGTAAATATAAACGAAATGCAATGATGTGCAAATCATTGAAACCCTATATTTCATTAAAAATAGTACAAAGACAACACATCAAATGTTGAAACTGAGAAATTTTATTGTTTTTCTTGAAAAATATATGCCCATTTTAAATTTGATGCCAACAACACGTTCCAAAAAAGTTGAGACAGGGGCAACAAAAGGCTGGTGAAGTTGTGTAGTGCTAAAAAGCACCTGGTGGTTAATTGGCAACAGGTCAGTAACATGATTGTGTATAAAAGAGCATCCCAGAGAGGCTGAGTCTCTCAGAAGTAAAGATCATTCAAGAATGACATTTCTCAACATAAAATAGCCTTTCAACATTTGATATGTTGTCTTTCTATTATTTTCCTTTAAAAATATGGTCTACATGATTTGCATATAATTGCATTCTATTTTTATTTACATTCTGCACTTTTTTGGAAGCGGGGTTATCTCAGTAAAAAAACTAAACTTAACACAGTATGTTGCACCATCTTGAAAAAGCAGGCGAATAACCTGAATGGGCGTGTCATGTAGTTTTTTGTGATGCAGACGTCTGATGAGGTAGCCGTACGTAAGGGCTCAGCTCACTATAAAGGGCTACGTTCATATAGGGTTTGAGTTTTGCTGAACTTTACATATTATATGGGATCATCTACACAGCCTTATGTGCTCATACAATATTTTATGAAGAATAAGCTGAAAAATTATCATTCTAATATTATAAACACTTTAGAACATTGGAAAATGTAAAAAATCATACAGATAAACCTTTTTCCCTTTGAGGTATAGCATTTGTATTGATTTTATCTCAAAATATTCTATATCTATTTTTTTTCTTTTTGGAAACTTATTTCAAATCAATTAGAATTCCTCTTAATCATATAAATGAAAACTGTATTATTTATTAACTTACAGTGTTTGTTTTGTTACACTTTAAGAAGAAATTAAGAGTCATCTTCATTTGCATAGAGCTAAAATTACGGAGTGTTGGTCAGCAGGTGTTTCCTGAGTGTGTCTCTCATAATATATGATGTATCAGTGTCAGTGCTGAACTATGAAGGGTGGCAGAGTCATATAGTTGTATGTAGTAAAGTTGATTCTGACCCAGTGCTGCAGTCTGGAAAAAAAGGGACTTCAAAAACATAATTTGTCTTGAAGAGTTTAGAATTTAAAAAGTTCTGCTCTGTCATTTTGCTGAACTTCTCATTTTGTGGTTAGCACGGGCTTGAAAGTTAGAAAGGACACACACAGGGTCATACGATTCACTTTTGCATAATTCGAAAACTCTACTGATACTTTGCATTGTGTTAACATTTCATAATAAACAAAGCAATAAAAATGGACCATAAATACTTGGAATAAAATCTTACTAATTTCATCACAAGTTAAGAATAACATTAATTTTCCTGTTATGTGTTTAGAAATGTAAGGTGGTGTTTACACCAGTGTCAATATCCAGTTTAATGATTCAATTAAAATAAGATCAAGCTGTACAAATATGTACACTAACTGTCATAGAGTGTCACCACATGCACACAGCACTGCTAAACAACAAGAGTTACATACATGTCCAGATGAATGAAAGTAACAGTAGTAACAGTAATTACAGTTTTGGAGGATCTGTATTTGGTGTGTATCAAACACATTCCTATCCTTTCATGAACTTTCTGAACAGCTTTATTTTATATTTTAATATCACAGAGTGTAAAACATCTACTTTTAGAATATTAAACAATAAAAGTATCTAAACAAAACCTTCCACATGACAGTGGTTTATTTAAGGGTTAACAGAAATGGTTATACTTAAATGATGATGATGGCTAAAAAAAACATAAATAAATTTGTGAACAACATCTGAGGATTATCTCTAATGTCTCTGGAGGAAAGTAAACCAGGGTCATTTTTTATCGTTTGAACAAACAAAGAGAAAATATACCAAAAAATACTTCCTCCTTTCTAATAAATAATTTATTTTCATTCATCATCATAAGACAGACTTCGAACTATGGCCAAAGTTTCTGGTGGGTTTTATCATATAACATTTGACAGAAGGGGCTGATAAGCTGATATGCAGAATAAGTGATCACAGGCTGTTGTTTCAGTGTGACCTGTGGAGTCAGGAGAGTGTTTAAACTGACTTACAAGAAAAACAGACACACAGGAAACAAAACAGTAGCTGCCACCAGGAAACAGATCAACTCTGAAATGACTGTTTTTCAGTCAGAGTTCTGTGAACTTTTTTTTCCATCTAGTGTCTTTGGGCCTGAACAAAAATCACTGTGTTCATTTTACCTGTACTAGAGGTGTGAATGGAAGACATGTTTATCTTTCCTAAAATCTGATCAAGACATCAATTATTTTTAAATTAATTAAAATGGTGTCATATTTATATTTTTGCATTTTTATCAGTATCTCAAGAAAATTCTGAGCTCGGTGCTGCAGTTGCTCACGTCATTTTTCACCTTTATAATGACACCATACTCAACACACAAAGAGAGTTTAATTGAAAATGTATTGTTCATCTTTGAAGTGTTTTTAAGAGGGGGTGTAATATAATAATGAAATATGGTGATGATTGATGCACACTGTCCATGTATTAAGTAGATTGAATTAAATTCCACAGATTATTTGAAAGTTCTGCTTGATCTGATCATTAAGGTGTAAACAAAGTCATTCAGATAATTGTTCACAGTGGTGTTGACAGTTACCAGATATCCTCAGTGTTTAACGGCTCTGAAAGCTCCTTCACAGAAAGTTATTACATAAAACTGTTACAAATACATTGACTTATGCCTGAAATATTGTTCACAATAGTTCTGAGAAAGTTTTGGCTTAAATGCATTCATGGTGGAGAGGCACATACAATGTGATCTGAGGCAAAATGGTACTCAAAGAAAAAAATCTGTTTTCTGGTTAACAACTTTTTAGCCATGATCAAAATTATATATGAAGGGAATGATGTATGCAGCTTTTTAATCAGAGGAATTATCCTCTAACTATTCTACTAACATAGCGATGGACTGGCGACCTGTCCAGGGTGTATCCTGCCTTCCGCCCAATGACAGCTGGGATAGGCTCCAGCACCCCACCGCGACCCAGAAGGATAAGCGGTTTAGATGATGTATGTATGTATGTATGTATGTATTCTACTAACATATTATTTTTATCATATGGTGTCATATGAAGTCCAGTCTTCAGTCCACTGTACATTACTGAACAACATGCTTAATAGGATTCTCCTGATTAAACATCTGAACAGATAAAATTAATTATTACTCCCTGAATTTTATGTGACTCATTCAAAGTTTCTCTGAGAACAAATAACAATATAGAAATGATTAAATTGATTTATGAACAGTTACAATGAAGTGCGTAATATGAGAAAATTAACACCGTAAACTAAAACCTATGTTTAAAACAATCCAAGTATTTAGTATGATGGTGGGTTCATGAGGGTTTATAAGCCATTTTTCACTCTCTATCACCAAATTTGATATTAATACTGATCTACATGATCTAATAATTCATGTTTGAATGAAACTGTGTTGGTAGTGTTTAGAGATCATATCACTTCATTTATCCTTCAGTTTAATAACTGACCAGTTAAATGACACTGCAGGCAGCCTGAACCTGATCTTTCATAGTCATCATTAAACAACACAACATTAAACATCACTTAACAACTCTCACCATATAAGACCATCTACACAGTCTCATGTGCTACAAAACATGGTAATCGCTCATCTACATGTACCTTCTAAACACTTTCAAGACTACTAACTCATCATCGTAGTACAAGACAAGATTGATAACGTTAAGCAAGAATTTTCAATTATTTATACATTATTAGTTTAATTCTGAGAACAATAACCATATTAGAAATTTCACATAGATTAATTTAAAAGTAGAATGATTTACTCACTTGTATGGAAATGATTTTTATACATTGACATACTGCATTAGTTTCTGTTATTCTGATGTGACTCAGAGAAACTTCTTCATTTACACGGAGCTAAAGTGACAGAGTGGTGCAGCAGGTGTATCCTGAGTGAGAGAGGAGGTTCACACTGATTAGCGGACTGAATCGTCTCTTGGGGAAATCTCCACGTCAGCGCAGCTCTCTCTGATCCTTCATTGCCACCTACAGTCTCTCCTCTCACACGCACTTTAACACACACTCTACAGAGTCTGTGAAAGAAAGCAGGAAAAGAAAGATTTGATACAAATATCTGATTAATTAAAACAGCATCATCATTGACAAACACTGTGCAACAGGATTAAGCCAAAGTGCTGTAGAAATATTGTTATTTAATTCATCTTTTCAAGAAAAGATGTGAGTAACAGCAGAGCAGAGCAGAAGCAAGTGAACTGTTTTACAAACGAATACTTCAGTGTAATTAAAAGTGTTTTCACTTAAAAAAAAAACAGAAAAGTACAAATCCACCAAAATTTCACTGAAACTCTTCAAACTCTGGTCTCCTCGCGCTACTGAGTGATCCTCTCTCCTGCTGAACAGTAGACTGCAGTTCACGCTTCTGCTGACAGATGGCGCTCTTCACTACATTCCCAAATCCCGCTCCACATCCACTTTATTCCACCCTCCATACGAGGCCTTATTCATTCACTCCTTTAGTTACAACTGACTGCACATCGATCGGAAACTCTGATATGTTTAAAATCAACCACATTTTCATTGGCATTAACACTGATGACAAACATTACATTACATAACAGTTAGTTCCGGCCACGCAAGCTGATTGGTTGAGAACCGTGCTGATATTTCGCCAACACTGTATCACTCCGCTGAGACGCCGTTGCTAAACAACGACTTTGTCAGCTGTAGGAGACGCTCAAGCCATTTGAACGTTTTTACTTCTTACTTTGCGCACAAACAGAAAATGGATACTTTTAAGATCACATTTGACTTACAGCTGGTCAGACTCTGAAGATGAGACTACACTAAATACAGAAACTGTCAAATCACAGCCGTGATTTCGCGATAACACACTCCCTCTCGTGTTCTATTAAATATCTCACTGTAATTTAAGAGTTTAAGCCTCAAGATCTGAATCTCTCACAGGAGAATTCCATTAGAATTCACTCTCTTTACTGCACTTGTCTGGACAGTGATCACTGACTCTGATCTGCTTTAGATCATCCTTTTACATTTTCAGTGGCATCATCAGTAACCATAGATATCACACCATCTCCTTATAACTGAGTCTCCAAAGCTCTGTTCACTATACAGCCAGAATAAAATCTGATCATTTTATAATGCTGTATAAACCTGTTCCACTCTTTTAGTCGTTCTCACTGTTATTCTTTACAGCTACATTTGTTTCATTATGCTGGTTCTGTGCTGAAGTCTCTCTGATTTAATGTCTAGAACATTATACTGGTTCTCCATCACCATGAAAAATGGACAACAAAGTTTTTTAAGTTATGCATTTTATTAAAGTTCATCAAACAGTTTTGTTCATAAACATAAAAGTCAAATGACTCCATAAGCAGGAGATGATCCAGTTGTTGTTAATGAAATCAGCATCTTTCACTACACATTAAACTACTGTTTCTATGAAGCTCTGCCAAGTAGTAACTGTTAGTCTGCATGAAAAGAATGAAAATGTATCAGATGTGATCAGGTTCAGTCGCTGCATTCAGACTTCTTAATCTCTTTAGTTGTGGCTTTTGAGGCAGCAGACACTTCACATGTTATGGCTTTATCTTTATCCCACTCTGATCTCTCAATGGTCAAATAGCTGCTCAGTCTGAATTTCTTATTGGGTTGCTGCTCTGCAGAGCCAGTGGTCACTCCACTGCTGATCGGGTTTCTGTCCACCAGCCAACGCACATCAGCAAAAATGCTGGACATGTCATTGGCCAAACAGACTAGAGTGGCTTTGTTAGACTTCAGCTCTTCACTGGATGGAGGGAAGATGGTCAGAACAGGAGCCGGGAGAGCAGAGTCTGATTAGAGAGACAAATAAATCATTCACTTAATAAAATGCAAATAATGAGAAAACATGAGAAAGTTTAAATATATGTTTAGACACTTTCAGATTGTCATTAATAAAAGTATATTTCTGTGATATCGGAACAAAAAACAGCTTTTTAAGGTTTTTATATTCATTTTATAAAACAAACATGGAGCAAATTTCTTGAATCAAAATAAACACAACTTTCTCTCAGTGACTGAATATTTAATTTTCCAAATGACTCACAGTTACAGTGAGAAACATAAAGGAAAATAATAAACATAGCCTTTCAACACAACATTGTATCCTCAATCAAGTCATTAAATCAAGTAAATGTTAAATATTAAAATTTATTTAAAAGTTTAGTTTACTTAATTATGTAAATCCAGAATGAAATTAAACTAAAGTCATGGCTGACGTGAGGCAGACCTTTCAAACATCAAGTATTTTGACATTTTTCACATTTTGGTCAAGCATAAAAAACATAACAGAGAATACATAAACATGTTTTAATAGAACTACAGTCATTGATAATTGAATTGAATTTTTATATGCCCGCTAGTAACATTAATATTCTGTGATTTTTTTGGATGAACAATAAAAAACAACAAAATCCTTATTCAAAGTTAAAATGTAATTGTTTCTTTCTAAAAGATGAGTTTCAAACATTAAAGAAGTCTAATGTAGATGAAGAGAGAGGTTTCTTACCAGTGACGATCAGCTTTGTTCCTTGGCCGAATACCACAGTGCTTCATTTCATATCCTCACCCGTACAAAAACCTCCTCAGTTTCAGAAGTGAAAGTAGCGGAACTGAAACGTCGTCTAGACTTCAGCTCTCTCTTCTACTGTCTGTGATCAGCACTGAGTCCTTACACATCCCATTCCAGTCTCTGTGAATTCCACATCTCTGTTATTCTGTGATTTCGTCACACGTCCTGCTCAAGAGAACTGCAGCTATTAGCTCCACTTTTCTGCTCCAGGTGAGAAATGAGCTGAATGAAATGGAGAAGTGAATGTGAGCAGTGAGGAGGTTTTTGTCATGATCGCAATCTCTGTGATACATTCTGTTTAACAGAGTCGTCCCATATCATACAGTAATACACTGCAGAGTCTCCTACCTCCACATTATTGATTATTAACTGTGGTAGTCGATGCTTGACGAGGCTTTAGATGTGAAGCGTGAAGATGGAAAATTATCTCCATATTTATCAGGAGAGCTGTGAGAATGATAAAATCTCAATACAAACTGAGGAGCTGCTTGTGGAATCTGTTTATACCAGGAGACGTAGTAGCTCTCAGGCTTTGCGATGTTACAGTCCATGCTGACAGTTCTGCTGTGGTCAGTTAGTACTGAAGGGGTTTGTGTCAGAACTTTCTGTGAACTGACCCCTAAAACATAAAGCAACATTGGAGTTCATGAGCATCAACATCATTTTAAACACAATCCTAATCAAACAGATCTCATCACTGTACAGAGAAAAGCAGGAAGAGAGATCTTACATGTCAGAGCAGGGAGGAGAGCACAGAGGGTTGGCAGCATGTTGTCTGTGTGATCAGCAGAGTGATGAACAGAGTGGAGGATGAAGAGAGGAGAGAGTGGAGGAAGCTTTCATAAGGAACTGAGGGAGGAGCCTGGACCTCTAACCAGCCAATCAGCTGAGACTTTGTTCACTGAAAAGAAGATTCCAAATTGTAGTACTTCATATTAAATATTTGGCCTGGCCACACCAGATGTCGCTGTGAAGCACTGCACGACATGATCAACAATTCAGTATAATGACCAATATATATAAATTTTTTCTTTACAACTAACATTGTTGCGCGTTTATTACATTTGACAATGGTAGCGCTGACAAGTACACCATATATCTTCCTGTACCTGTTGTGTAAATGCCAGTAGGCTTCCTGCTTCTCCTAGCATTCTTTGTTTGGTGAGCATGGGACCAGCCCCTCAGTGTTTGTCTAACGAAGTGAGCAGTTAAAAACACTGTGCGCATGTTCAACGCACTTTCAATAACCAGCCATGGGGCACGATCACATTGGCCCCATGCTGAGAACAGCCAATAAAAAATAATAAACTTGCATACGTCCAGACGTTTACTAAATGTCATTTACAGTGTGGGCGTTGCTACGCAGCTAGCCATAGTTCCTCATCAGTTGTGATAGCCACTCATAATAGCAAGGCAAAATAATGAGTCAAGACGAAAATGTAATAAAATTTAAATTTGGTACCAGCCATTAGAGCAGAAATTAGACATTTGGGACCACAGCAGAGGATTTCAACATCATTCAGCCTGGAAAGGACAAAAACTACTCCTTCAGTCCAGAGTGGTTCAAAAGAAAAACATGGCTAACTGTGAGTGAAAAACATGGCTTCTGCTTTCCTTGCCTGCTCTTGCTGTGCTATCACTTAAATTCATTCATGGATTGGTCGACTTTGAGAGAAAAGTTTGCCCAGATGAAAGATCATCATGGATCTTTTCTTTTTGAGCAGTGACCATCACTTGTGAGTCATCCTGCATAATTATAAGGCATATTATTCCTAATGCCTGGAAATGTAGGTTTCCCTGCTCTGATATGTTGCTTTGGATGTGTATTTGCAGACCTCAATGACCGTATACTGCTAGATAACTTTGGATTTGTAATGCGATGCTGTATAAAAAGGTTTTCTGAGATCTAATGTCATTATCATATCACTCATATTCCTGTCTCCATGTCCACCAACTCCTGCGCCACGTTATGTTAATTTGTGATTTTATGATTTCACTGATGGAGTGCATTTGTGTTTGGATCAGGTTTGTGTGTTGTTTCATTGACAAGTTGGCTGCTGCCCCTACAGTTTATTGGGCTCCACCAGGCTTACTGTGCCAGAGATGCCACTGGTCACTAATTCTTTGGCTTGATATTATAAAACATTTTCTGTGTAGCATAAGGAGGACATGTTTTTATTTAACTCCCTTCCTCTTAGATCCATGCTGTGTGCTTAAAACTCAGATAGCCAGCAAGACAGAAAATGAATGTCTCTGAAATGTCTTTTCTTGAGGCCAACATAAGTACTTTTTTTTAATACAGTAGGTGTAGGAGGTAAACAGATGTTATATGGCTAACTGTGTAAACAAACAATCCAATTATATTGTCAGAGACAAACAAAAATATCCAATTTAATGATCCAATTATAAAATATTATCTAGAATATGAAAACTATCATAGAGTTTCACCACATGCACACAGCACTGCTAAACAACAAGAGTTACGTACTTGCCAAGATAAGTGATAGTTGTGCTCTGTTGTTAGTGTGCATCAAATATGTTCCTCTCTTTTCATCAACACTGTTATCAACCTTATTTACAGGTTTAGGATCACAGAGTGTAATCATTTAGGACGTATAAAAGACTGTCTAATTGCCCTACAATTAATGTTTTTATTACCTTTTATTCTCCACAATGGTGTCATGTTCTTATGTTAAATATATATTTAAGATGTATTCATATATTGTGGTGCACTGCCACTATATGCAATGGAGTGAAAGTGTAATCATAGTGGTCAAGGGGAGGGAAAAGGGTAGCCAGGACGCAAAAAGGTAAAATCCAACAATATTTGTTCACCAAAGTGTGAATATTTACAAAGGCAAATGATGCAGACAAATAAACAGAAAGAAAGCAAAACACTGTGCAAATGAAAAACAAACATGGCTCTGCGCAGCCATGTTTACAGAAATAACTAGACACAACAACCTCTAAACAGAAGACAACAAACTGTACCAGTTAAGTCAGACACATCTCAAAGGTTCTCTCCTCCCTCCTCCCTCCAGAATTGATCACTGTAGTGGTGATAAGAATAAGACATCTAAAGTGTTTAACACCTCTTCAAGCTACCTGACAGTAAGTTATTACATGATATCATTAAGAAAATGTTATTTTCTCAATGCATTCATTGTAGAGAGGTACATACAGATTTAATACTTTGTATGTCAGGCAGTTATCACTGAATAATCATGATTACCATTATAAACACTTCCTGTCCAAAAACGTCGCACACGCTAATATTTCACTTGATCGTCTTCATTGCCTCATTGTTTCGACAATCTTATGTGTGTTACAACATTTATTTTGGTCCAGAGTTGCATTAATTTTTGGCTGAGATCTTGTATTGACGAACAGAGAGTTGAATCACTCCATAAAGTTTTCTCCAGCACATCCAAAAGACGTTCAGTGGGGTTAAGGTCAGGAGTCTGTGGTGGTCAATTTATGTGTAAAAATGATTCCTCATGCTCCCTGAACCACTATATCACAGTTTGAGTCTGCTGAATCTTGGCATTCTTGTCTTAAATTATGCCTATGCTTTCAGGGAAGAAAAAAGCCAATGATGGAATAACCTGGTCATTCAGTACAGGCAGGAAGTCAGCCGACTTCATTTTATTGCCACATACCATTGCTGAGCCAAATGCTGACCACATGAAGCAACCCTGAGAAGCAAACCATCGTAAGTTCTACTGTGTTTTTTTCTGATTCGACTTCACCATGTGTTTAGGTGATCTCCAAAAAGACTTTTGTCTGACCACATTTCTTCCGTAAAGTTGACAGTTCATTATTCTTCCAGAGTTTAATAATGCGTTGGACAATTCTTTATCCAATTCCAGGAATTTCAGCAATCTCCTTTTTATTTATTTATTTTATTTTTGATGCAGGCCAGTAATTTGACCCTTCTGAAACACAGTAACATTTTTTCCACAGCCGTGGGAAACGTCTTCTGACATGGTTGTTTAAGAAATGAGAAGCTGCTCACTATCAAATCAAAGTTTTTGCATATTTAAATCCAAACGGCGACTTTTTTTTTTTGGCCAGGTAGTGTATAACAGTTCACTGCATAAAAAGACACACATAGGTCTACTAGTCATTTAGGACAGTAAATAAAAGGGCTACATTTGAGCTGTAGATATTGAGACCCCTGGTTTAGATTATCAATTATGCAGAAATGTTGAAAATACATGTGGAATTTCATCATCATCAGCTCATTACTGGCTATTTACAAATGAATTTCATCATACTAGATGTTATGAAGTCCAGTCATTGGTCCATAATAAAGAGTGTCCTGAAGAATTATCTTGTCATGTCTAAACACTTAAAAGTGAATACAGTTTTTCTTGAACTGCTGTATTTCTAATATATAGTCTGTATGTGCTTTAATGCGCTCTCAGTAATATGGTGGTGCTCAGCAATGAAGTACATGTCACTGCTTTCACATTCAGTGCACTGCATTTCAGTTACTGGATTGGCTAAAATATCTGAATGAACATGATTGAAGCAAAAGAATGATCTCACAGCACAGCATTTTCTGGCTTATTTGTTTGACCTATTCCACGCACATAGCAGCTAGAAATAGCTTTCAGGGACATGTGGAGGTGTTTTGATTTGGAGGTGCTTCAATTTCGAGCAGCATTTACATGACATTAACAGTGATGTCATGAAAAATAATGTACTTTATTTTAATTTTAATTTTGAATATTGTTGAATATTTTTGAATTTTTACATACAGAAAGTGACCTTAAACTGATTGTGTTTTAGTGACGCGCCCCAAAAGCAGTTCGGAAGCGATTCGACTCACTTTGAGTAAGTGTATTATCTAGTTGTAAATGAGTGTGCCAATTTGACTTCTAAGGAATGAAAATGATAAAAGCATGATTTACAGTGGAAATTAAGTACATTAATTCATTTTCTTTTCAGCATAACTGTTAGGATGAATTTCTGT